TTTGCTAACATAAAGTTCATTCACCGTTATATCTTTGCAGAGACCCATGGCTTTTTGACACAGCCGAATTTGGCATGTGAAAAATAATTGATTTGAGTCTGCATACTTAAACGCTTGACTTTGAGCGAATGCGCTCATAAGCGACCTGTCATACTGCAGTTCACTTAGCAAAGCTGGATCAGTTGAGCATCTGAAAACTACAAAATCCGTTCGTTACCCAAAGCTAGAAAATATTTTCGTACACCATATAAAAATCAAGATTACGATTCAAGGTTCTGCTTGGCTAACAAAAAGGAAGATCTTGGTATTTCAGTTATTCCGCAAGTAGCCCTTAATCAGTAGGGCTACTCGTTAAAAAGACAGTTTGTTTCTGTTTTAAGTCGATGTTTATTAACTTAACATTAACAGTCGAACAAAAAATTTCAAACCCGCCGTCATCGAGAACAATATGCCGTTCTCCTTCACCGTTGGTAACAACGCAGTTTTTTACCAACATTCCCATATCTGCCCCTGAGCATTCCCAGACGTGGTAGACCTTTAAGGCACTTTTCAATCTAGTAAGAAGCTATGCAAATTTTTACAATTGAGAGAAGCAGTAAGCTTACCCTTTCTCCAACATTGGCAAACGAAAGTTCAGGACCATTTGGGCTATCTTTTCGTACCGAATAGACACAGGTTGGCATCTTCAGGGTGTCATGTAATTCCACCGTTGGAATTGTGCTACAATTAAAGAGTTAAACGGTAGAATAGTTACAAAAAACAGAATTTTGTAAGATGAGTGACGTAGACGAAAGGCTTTGTTACCTGACGTTTATTCCAGATGTAACTGTTTCATCAGTTTCCATGTAGAAGCATTTTACATGAAACGCGCGATCATTTTTAGTTATAAAACCTGCTGGATGAAATGAAACAATAACAGTGACTACAAAGTTGACACCTCGAGGATTGACCTACAAAAAAGTAGAAAACAGGTACTAAACTAATTTTTCTGCTTAGCTTTTCATCTCATTTAGTTGTTTCTCTTCAAAAAATTTAAAAGCTGAACTTATTAAGTGCAGATCTGCTGATATCTCTCAACATTCAAGGAGCCAATACTTCCAAAAACTGGGATTTTTTTATATCTGTAGGCTGAGTACGGTACAAAAGAGCAAAAATGTCATTGTACTTTGAAGAGTTTCAGAGACTTCTGTGACAGTTTTGACACAGAAATTTATCTTGGTAAAATAAAAAGAACTGAACATGTTTGCAACGATTTTATTCTTTATGCTTCTTTTGGTTGGCACATGTTTGTCCTACAAAAGGAACTATCAATTTTTTGGACAAAAATGGATGATTTTCTGTGGCTGAAAAAAGATTGAATAAAACGGAGAAACCGGCAAAGAAAACTAATTTACTTTTCAACAAGATTTTGTTTCTAATTTTCCGTCTTTCAGCTTTTCATTCTTTATATTGTAAACTAGCAGTGGTACTGATACCTTTCAGATACTATGCAGCTCTTGTGTAAAGAATTACCTTTAAAGTAGGATATTCTATTAGAAAATTTTTCCTCAGACACATGAATTAATCATTAAGATTTTGACAAATTTTCGTCATGTTTAGATTCCTATTCCGATATCTACTATAGAACTTCTTTTGCGTCCCGAACGTGGTAGGAAGTATGGAGTTTAAAAAATGCGTTCAAGGTTCTTCCTACAGTCCTACGCCTTAAATCAAAGAAAAATTTTTTTATGACAAAGTTATAAGAAATTTATAGATTCTACCAATTGTAGTTTTAAACAAGGAAAACCAAATTTGTCTACAGCTTCCATCTTAATACACTAGTGATGAATTATATGTCGAGCAATATGTTTTACGAAACAGTAAAGCGTTACTGACTGCTCGTTTTTCCTTTAAAGGAAGAAAAAATTCAGAAAGTATAGCCTCAAAAATTAACAGAAAAAGTTTAAAATTTTCCAACCTCACTAAATGTATAATACAAAATAACAATAGGCACTCAAGAGGTCCATTTTATCTAACCTTAGAAGAAAACGCTAGATTCATTCAGTAACCTGAAGAAATGATGTGATTGTTGGCAGCAATAACTGAACCGTTAAAGATTACCATTAAATTCGCTGTTTGTAAGATAGACAATCATTTCTTAAACTGCTTTTTTTTGGTTTATCTCACAATTTTGAAGAAGAAATTTTGTCATCTCTATTTCGTCAGACTTCTGTTCCTGCTTCTCCTGCCCTCACTATCAACTTCACTATGTGGTTCATGTTTTATTAAACCGGGAGTAAGCAAGGGAAACGTGTGCATCATTCATTACCACTCAAATTCTTACCAAAAAATAAACAGTATTGAGAAATTTTGTTAATTCCTCCTATTAACAAATTTTCAAAATTTATGACAACTTTTCGAGCAAGTCTTAAACATCAGGCTCTCCGGTCATCGTTTTATTCTAACAACCGCGGTACTTCAAAAACTGATATCACCTCCACGACTAATTGGGCAAACTTGATAGTGAAAGATATTGTTTCAAGACGAAAACCAACTGTACTCACTTTAAAGTTCTCATTCTCAACCAAAAGTGATCTGTGAATTCATTCGAGAAGAAAGCAAAAAAAGCGTAACCTTTATATTTTGAATAAACAAAGACTGGTTGTTAATATTGCAGTTCATGCTACTTTGAAGGTGCGACAAACAACTGTTATACGTTGTAAGATTTTGGGACTTTTTCTCGGCTGCATTTTGAAAGAACCTCTAAAAACGGTATTTATAATTGATAATGTTGAAAGGAAATGTATCGCAAGGAGACGACAGCAGGTGGCGAGGAGGGACCGTCCTTGGTTCTACTTTCCTTCTTTAATCGTCCATTCACTACAACCACCAATTCCGAGGTAAAATTTTACACTTACAAATGAATAGGCAAGAGAGATTAATTACAGTTCATTTAAGTAGGTCTTTAGACTTTCAGCTTTTTCTGAAAATTTTTGTAACAGTAAGGTAAGCAGAGGTTGAGAGAATTTAAAAGGTCGTAACCGACCATTACAGGATGTCAAAAGTTGAAATCTTTTGTCCTCTGTACAGTCAAGTACAAGTAATTTTGATTGAAATTTTAGTTAAGAAAAGACTTTTAATGCTTTCCACAGTCCTAAAACGGCATTAACTTTAAAATAGTGTTGATTTGTTACAAAAATTACTTTAGATAGTATAGTTTGACAACCAAAAAAAATTTGTTTGCTGTTTCAGTTACTCATACTTTTCAGCAAAGTTACAAGTGGCAAAAACTTCTGCAAATTCATTTATAGCAACTAATAAGGTGACTAAATTCTATACAAGCAGTACGTTACGTTAAGTTTGAATACTTTAAACCACTAGTGCTTAGAAGAAGCTTATACTTATTTGTTGGCAATTTTAAGCGATGATGCTCTTATAATCTTCTTACACCAATACCTTTTAAGAATTAAAATACTGTATTTATTCTCTTGATAAATTTTTGACACACATTAAAGCTTAAAGAAGCTAAGAGCGTTCAGCAAAACTGTTTGTTTAGTGAGATCTAACTTAAATTTCATAATTATTCAAATATTCTAATAACAGATAAATTTAATAATCCCAACTTTCTCTGAATTTTACTAATTAATAGTTACTGAATGAAATCTTACCTGTTCTCTTTTTGGAATTCCTTATCAAAAAAAACGACTTTGAACACTTACAAGAATTCGTTCAACACTTAAATCTGATTTCAAAAAAAAAATTTTTTTTCAGAGTTGCAGCATTGGCCGAGAAGTTTATACGGTCACTTAGTAATAACTCAGATTAAACTTTTCAATTGAATTTTTTTCAAAAATTGTCATCGAATTGATCCATATTTCAAAAATTTATTGTGTAGATGAGATTTCTTAGATTCTAAGGGTAAATGAGTTGAAGACGAAAATGTGCTATAAACTTGGCTTTCAAAAACGATTACTTAGTGGTTTAGAATTAATGCTGCATAACATTTTCAATTAGGCATAGTAAATGTGTACAAAAGAAAACCGTTTACATATTATTTTTATTACCTGTAACAAATGATTTTACTAAAATTCAAAACCTTTAGTTCTATATTACTATAGAATTTTCATTATTGATTTCCATATATTTTATAGTGACAAAAAGTTACTTAAATGAAATATTTAATATGCTCATTTTTAACCGTATATCGTTTTGAAAAACTCTGCGGTGCAATGACAACAACTGAAACGAAGTATTCTTCACAGTTAAGAACGCAAAAAACAGTCTCAACTCCCTAAAGTTGCCCAGCAAAAAATTCTTCTGTCTTTCTGTTGATCTTTAGAATTAACTTTTTTTTTGCTTCACCAATTCGGATACCGAATTTTTAATTACCCACTAACAACATATTCTTCTCCGGGTAGGGGGAGGGTGGAGGGGTAAAAAGAAAATAATAAGTTGTTTCGAAAAAAACATTTCAAACTTCACTTTCTACTGTAACATAGTTTTTGATATAAGCGACTTCTCACTTATGCATCTAGAGAAAATTAACATTTGCAAAAAAAAGAAAGAAAAAAAAGAAGAAAGCACTCTAAAGTCGATTTAATTTTGAATCAGAAGTACAGCAGAAAATCTAAAAAAAGGCAATCTAAAACTTTTGTTTATCAAGTAAAAAGTTGAAAGACGGATTGGCTAAACAGACTGTACAGTTTGAATGGGTAAAACAATTAAAAGCAGAAAAAAAGGCCTGAAAGCATACTGATCTAAGCCGTTGCATTCCACATTTCCCTAACGATAACGAATACAGATTAGAACTGTTGGCGGAATAGGATTGTCGGCACGATGGTTCCCTGGCGCGACCCTTTACAAAGATGTTGCCTCTGAATGGCTGTGATGTTACGATATCCAACGAGAGATCGTTTTCTTTGCACGAAATCTTTGGTGTTCCTGAAACAAATATTAGCGGGCTGATAT